CAGCAGGCCAAGCAGCATCAGCTCCTATGATGCTGCTTGGCCTGCTGTGTTCATCCAGCCCTGCACCTTGTTGTCTTACATTTTCATCCAAGTCATTTATATATATCACTAATAGCAGAGGTCCCAGTACGGATCCCTGTGGAACACCACTAGCCACGGACCTGCAGCACCCTTCCACCACTACCCTTTGTCTTCTATGGGCAAGCCAATTCTGAATCCAACTGGCCAAGACACCCGGGATTCCATGCATCTTAATCTTCTGGATGAGCCTACCGTGAGGGACCTTGTCAAAAACCTTACTAAAATCCATATAGACAACGTCCACTGCTCTATCCTCATCAATCACCCTTGTCACCTCCTTGAAAAATTCGATCAAGTTAGTAAGACATGACCTACCCTGCACAAAGCCATGCTGACTGTCCCTAATTAGAACAGGCTTTTCCAAATGCATGTGAATCCTATCCCTAAGAATTCTCTCCAACAGCTAGTGGCTAACGAGGATACAAAGATCTTGGTCAAGGCCCTAGAAATCTCCTCTCTTGCCTCTCTCAATAACCTGAGGCAGATACCATCCAGCCCTGGGGAATTAATGCTCTTCAAGAGCCCCAACAACACTTCTTTCTTGATCTCAAAATGCCCTAGCACATTAGCATGCTGCACACACATCTCACTATCCTCCATACTTTTCTCCTGGGTGAATACCGATGCAAAGTACTCATTTAGGATCTTGCCAACATCTTCTGTCTCCAAGCACAAGTTCCTTCCGTAATGCTTGAGTGGCCCAATCTTCTTCCTAGTTATCCTCCTGTTTTTAATGTATGTATAGAATGCTTTGGGATTCTCATTTCATGGCCCCTTCCTGCTCTGCTAATTCCCTGCTTGAGTTCTTTCCTGCTTTCTTTATATTCCTCAGGCCCACTCCGATTTTAGCTTCCTAAACCTTATGTATGCTAGTTTTTTCCCTTTTGACTACATTCACAACCTCTCTTGTTATCCAAGGGTCCCTTACCTTGCTATCCTTGTCCTTCCTCCTTACTGGAACATGCCAGTCCTGAACTTTGATCAGTCGGCCTTTAAACAACTCCCACATGTCAAATCTGGACTTGCCCAATAAAAGTTCCTCCCAGTTAACACTCCCTATCTGAAGTATGCTATTCTATAGTTCTATGACATTGTCTTTACAGATAGAAAGCAGTGAAATGGCTTTAACTACGACTGGCTGTTCCTGTCTTTTATCCCGTGGCCCATTCAGAACTGAAATTACTTCAATCGTCCGACTATGAAGAGTGCTGGGTTTTACTCTGTCACAAATAAAATCCCAAAGCTGTCCACAAACTGGGCTTTTCATCACCTTGACTAGCCTGTTTATTGCTGTGGCCATCAGCTTTAGCCTCTGAGTTGAGACCTTGTGACTCTGACTCCCTGAGGCAGTGCTGCACTGTCAGAGGTCCTTTCTCTCAAACTTGTAACTGTCAATGAATTTTAATGAACCTTGATCATTACAGGAAGGAGAGAAGGGGAATTATCTACAATGCTCCGGTCTATATTAAAGGCAGATTATTTAGTCATTATTGCATTGCTGTTTGTGGGATATTGCTTCATTTGTGGTTTATTTTTGTGCTTTACCACTGAGTGTACCTCCAAAAGAAAAGTACATAATTGAAGAGAAAGTGCGATTAGAATCCCTACAGTGTGGAAACAGGCCCTTCGGCCCAACAAGTCCACACCGAACCTCAGAGCATCCCACCCAGATCCATCCCCCTATGACCCACCTAATATACACCCTCTACCTCCCTGAACACTACAGGGCAATTTAGCATGGCCAATCCGCCTAACCTGCACATCTTTGGACTGTGGGAGGAAACCGGAGCACCCGGAGGAAACCCACGATGGACCGCTATGAAATGTGCTAGGTAATGTAAGCAGGTCTTAGCTATCATATTAATGCATTTCTCCTTCTCCATCTCCAAGGCGTTAACAACATTTCTAAAGTTTCAAAGCTGAACACAATATTCTAACAGCAGCCTCTAAGGACCGTGTCTCTTTATTTTTGTGCTTTCTTAAAAAAAATGAATTGAAACAAGAACGAACTGTATGAAAACCAGTGTTTTGAAAGGATGGCTGCATATTTTGAAAATTAAGTAACCTGACACCTATGGCAAGCATCATAAGCAGCTGTTAGAATGAGCAGTGACTGAAGTGGTTGAAGATGAGCGGTAGCCAAGGGGTTCTGTTTTTGGTTGGTATTCTGGTTGGCAAGATATTAATTGACCTGTGGACTGGTGACCAGTTACAGATTGTCAAGGGCCTTTTGCTTGCCAACAATCACATGATTGGTTTTCAGGTAACTGAGCAGCTTGGAGCTGGGAACAGCTTACAGAGAACAAAATTGATCTCTACCAGCACAAGAGATGCCTCTCTGTTCTCTGCAGTCAAAACCCATGTTAAACTCAAAGACATCCAGTTTATCTTTCCTTCAGCAGTTGTCTTAAACTTTGACTGTTAACTAAAAAGTCAAAAACCTTTTAAAGGCAAACTAGCAACCCAATAGAATCATCCAGAGAAAAGTGACTAAGAAGCAACGTCCTGACCAGCATAAGGATAATTTCAGCAACGCTTGAATAGGAACGACTAAACTGTCTGCAAGTTTCCTTCTGCCCATAATCTATTTGTCCCTGTGTGTGTGTGTGTGTGTGTGTGTGTGTGTGCGGCGTGTGTGTGTGTCTGTGTCTGTGTCCGTGTGTGCGTGTGTGTGTCTGTGTCTGTGTGTGTGTGAGAGGGGGTGAGTGTGTGTGTGTGTGTTTGTGTGTGTGTGTATGTGTGAGAGAGGGGGTGAGTGTGTGTGTGTGTGTGTGTTGCACGCACACGTGTGAGGAGGTGATAATTTAAGGATTTGGAGTTTTAATTAGTAGTGTTATATGCTGACAGTTTATACCATTGGATAGTGTTTAATTACCAGCAATAAATAGTAATTCTTGTTCAGTACCGAGCTATTCATTCTTTCTATTAACCTGGGTCTGAAAATTAGGTAAATTTGGGAATTTTATTTACTTATTTTAAAATATTTTACATTTGTGATCATTCCATGACTAACGGAGCTTAGTTTCCAGTGTTCTACTGCAGGGATCCATGACAAACCTAACTGAGAGCTTGTGCAGGTTTAGCATTCGCAAGGTTGCTATCTGACATAGGTACAGCCAGGGGTACATTAGAGTGCATCATTGAAGTATGCTTCTATAAGTTGACAACTCTTTAAATTCCCAACCTCAATTTATTTCTGAGATAAGCAACATTATAAAACCTCACAGGAAGTAACTGGCTTCTCTCTCAATGTCTGGGATGTAACCCGTGACAATAGACATAGTAGATGAAAAGGCTGTTTTATCAGGAATGATGAAATGGCAACAGTATTGTCAGAGGAGTTTCAAAGTACACCCTCTAAAGCCATGGCCTGCAACTACATTGTTACAGGCAAGTGTTTGCATATTGAATTTCCATTCTAAAAGCATACGTCATAAATGTTTTTAATGTTAAATGTTGAGATAAAACCATGACCTAAAATTATAACAATAGGAAGCAGTGCAGGATGTGTCTGAATACATAACCTTTTTCAAATAATATATAGTTACTTGATAGTGCAGAACCTAAACATTACTGAGAAAAAAAAAACTGGATGTCAAAGCTGTACAGCTTCTACTCATCAGGACTGAATGCAAGAATGACAAATTTCAAAAAGAACAACAATTTATGTTGCATATGGAATAGATGCTGATTAGTTGGCAAGTCGACTCTGATTGGTCAAAATATTGTCATTGGGAATGGACCAGGACACTATTGCTCCTTGGGTTTTTGAGATTTGCTTATTTTATAAAGGTACAATACCTCGATACATTCCTTTCTCTACATATATTCAGCTTCTAGCAAGGGTCAGTGAGGTGTATTGGGAGCCAAATTGATAATCTTAAATCAATTGTGCTGTAATACGTAACACACTTGGAATTGTTCAAAATGTGTTTTCAAATTCCTGAATCACATCGATCTCTTGACATTATGTTCTGAATTTTACAAGCATGAGTTGGTAATCCGCTTATTACAAACATCTGAAGGGATGTGCTGTTTGATGTTTGATCTGTCACCCATTGAGACATAGATCTTATATACCTGGCATCACACTAGCATTGGAAATAACATTATTCACTTGTGTAGTGCAAAAAACATATGTTTGATTCAATGGCAATATCTGGTTAGTTGAAATCACCACTTGTGTTGCTACTGATTAAGGATTTTTGAGATGCCTTCCCCTCCTGGGATAATCTGAAGTAGATTGGGCACCTTTCACATCTGAAACTGGTAGCCTTCTGTCCACGGGTATGTGCCACATCCAATGTGCAATGGGATTGAGCTATTCGATGCCAGAGTGTCGAAATAATGCTGAGCCTACCGTCCTCATAGGCATGGAATACCAGGTCATCACCACTCCGTGTGTTAACAAAAATCTCTACCTCACATTCAAACTCAAAACCATAAATCTGTGTCTCTGAGTCTCTGTCCCATTAGCCAGTAGGGATAATTATCCCTTGTGTAGCTTCTACCTGTCATAATCTTCTACACACAGGAAATCACTGTCTGAGGCTTTGGCATCCTTAACTCAAGTGCTTTTCAGTAAGTTCACCCAAAGCGCACAGTCATGTTGCACTTTGTGTGGTATCCTGTTTTGTGCTGCCAATGTGTGGCCCGTTTCCTGGGAATGCTCAAGGTTTGAGAAATGAAAGATCCACTAAAGGCAATGAGTATTTTCCACTTGGACTCTTAAAGTCAAAACACACCAGTTCAGCATCCAGGTTTGATGATGAAGTTCAGATGTCACCTGTGTGTATCCATTCTGGCTGGTTTATTTTCTGTACAAGACCAGTGTCCCTACCTCTGAGCCAGGGCACACAGATTCAAGTCCCACCTCCTCCAGAGGAACGTCACAATATCTCTGAGCAGGTCAATTAGAAAATGTCCAGAAGTTCTACTTGTGTCCATGGAGGCAAGAGCAGGCCATCAGGGGTGGTAACTGTTGCAATGGAAGGAGACTTTTATAGCCTCGGTGTTAGGTGTCCTTGGTCACCCATTGTAGGCCATTGTCTGATGAAACTCAAACATTCGAGTCTCTGTCGTGTGCTCGATATTCACATAAGGGAATAAAGCACAGAAGTTGCTCAAAAACATGGCAACTCAGTTCCTCCTTTTTGGGTACGTAATTGGATATGGATACTTTGCAGGTTGTGATTTGAACAACATTGCCAGTTATTTCACTGCTAACAGTCTCCCACTTTTGACCGAAGCTGGATAGATCTTCCTCTGTCTGGATAATCCCTCCACCTACTCACTAAATGGTTTCCAATACATACAGCTGACTGTTTCAGGCTAGCTATTAGTGACACTTTCTCAGTGTGAATTTGACTCTAACCAGGTGTAATACAGTTCCCACACTGTTACAGGAATGCAATGCAGTTCCCACACTGTTGCAGGAATGCAATGCAGTTCCCACACTGTTGGCAGGAGTGTAATGCAGTTCTCACACTGTTACAGGAATGCAATGCAGCTCCCATAGTGTTACGGGAATGCAATGCAGCTCCCACACAGTTACAGGAATGCAATGCAGCTCCCACACTGTTAAAGGAATGCAATGCAGCTCCCATACTGTTACAGGAATGCAACGCAGTTCTCATACTGTTACAGGATTGTCATGTGGTTCCCACACTGTTACAGGAATGCAATGCAGTTCCTACGTTGTTATTATGTTATTTTGAGGGTGCGATGCAGTATCACTGCCACATTGCCCCAGTCCTTATCAAAGAAGCAGAGCCATTATGAGAATGTTGTGGCCCTTGCGGTTCTTTCTGTTTCTGTTAATACTTTGTGAAGTGAAACCTTGCCATAATCTTGCCCAGTCCCCTCCTTACTTTGGGATTGGAACATTCAGAAGTGTTCGTATTTCCATCCTACACCTGGGATAGAGTGTGGACGGGAGCATTGAGAGTAAAATGAATGGTGTGATTGCTTCCACTGGCAGTGAGATTCAGGCTCAAACTAGTTCATACCAATACACTGGAGAAATCTGCTGAACTGAGCCTTTACCACAGCACAAGTGAAATATGTGGAATCACAAATAAAAGGTCATTAACTTACCTTGGTACAGGCTCCGAAAGGTTTAGCCCCACATCCAAGCTTGGAATGAGTGGCATGATTTCTGAGCCAATTTGTACATAGCAGCAGTTCTGTGGGGGTTTATCTTTCACAATATTAAATTGTCCTAATCATATCTAACAATTGTGTTATCCTCCTTTCCCTTAACTGACTGATTTATTCTTTAATGATGAAGTGCTTCAGACACTTGTTCTGGGGCAGGGTGGATTGTGGGGTACATGTCATAGCTCACACAAAATAGTTCTTCCGTTGCCTGTCCTAAATCTCTTCAGTGCTTGTATTAACGGTGGTTCATTGATTGCTGCTAATCCATGTGAGTCAGAAGGTTGTGAGGTTTAATTCCAATCCAGAGTTTTGGTCATATAGTGCCGTTTAATGCTCCAATGCATTACTACTGCAGTGTTGCCCTTGCAAAGGTGCTGACTTTCAGATGAGGCATTAAGTGAGGATTTTCTCTGTGGTCTCTGCTGGATGTTATCCCATGACATAATTTTGAAGCATAGGATAGTTATTGTTCTGTATCATGAAGTAGTTATCCTTCAACCAATATTGCCTCGAAAATACATAGATCACCTGGTTATTATTTCATTACTGGTTTGTGGAATCCTGCTGTGCACAAAGGGCCCACCATATATTCCGTGTTGCAATGTTGACTGCACTTCAAAAGTACACCGTGGTCCTAAAGCACATTGGAACATCCTGAGTTGTAAGTTCTGAACCTTTTTACAATCAGGTCTCCAGTTTCAATTTGATCCAAACCAGTCGTCAAGACAGAAAGCCAAGGAACCTTCCTTTTTGGGTAGAGTTTATTGACTACTCAGCGTTACAGTTCTTTCCACACCCCAGTGATACAGGTACATCCTTTACTACTCCATCAGCTGTTTCTCCTCAACCACGAGTAAAGATATCAACAGACTTCACAATGTGACTAACCAATCATTTACATCTGGAGTGGGATCAAAGTCCAGAATCCTAGCTGTTTGTGGCAAAGTGGTAGTGTCCCTACCTCTGAGGCAGAAGGTCTGGATTCAAGTCTCAGTCTGACCTGGAGGTGTGTTGGAACAGATCAATTAAAAATGATTAGAATGAGCAACCGTTCGAGGCCTGAATGCTACTGACTGAGGGCTGCAGTTGATAAAAATTAATGCAGAGAATTGCGATAATACTTGTTGGGGTCTATGTAAAGAATGCAGGGGTAGACAGACAAATGTGAAAGATGCTGACGAATCTCCATAAACAGAGGATTGGGGCATAAAAGCACGAATAGTTTGAGTTTTATAATCAGGGTGTAAGAACATGACAGCAACAATGAAAGATTAATTTGTAAATTACGACAATTAAAAGTGCCCAAACAAAGGCACTTGCTGTAGCCATCGCTGCAATAAATCTGCGTGGAAAGCTAAAATATATCAATCAACTCCGACAGAAACATCTCTCGTTTCTTGTTATTGGCCAGCAAAGAATGTCCGGAGTTCTTTGGAAAGAATTTGTACTGAATAATGATAAGTTTTAGTAAGTGCCTTTCACGGTTTTGCTACTCCTTCATTGCAGGTGAAATGTCACCTGAACATATTGCAGTTCCATGCTGTTACAGGAATGTAATGTAGTTCTAGACTAGTAACTGGACTGGTAACCCATTAGGCTGATGGTCTGGAGATTTGGGTTCAAATCTTGCTATGATAGCTGGTGGAATGAATGTGGAGCCAATTAATTAGTCTGGGATTGAAAGCTGGTCTCAATGATAGCATCCGGGAGAATTATAGAATCATAGAATCCCTCCAGGGTGGAAACAGGCCTTTCGGCCCAACAAGTCTATACTGACCCTCAGAGCATCCCACCCAGACCCATCCCCCTATAAACCACCTAATCTACACATCCCTGGGTACTATAGGACAATTTAGCAAGGCCAATCCACCTAGCCTGCACTGTGGGACTTTGGATCTTTGGACTGTGGGAGGAAACCGGAGCACCCGGAGGAAACCCACGCAGACACGGAGGAGAATGTGCAAACTCCACACAGACAGGCGCCCGAGGGTGAGATCGAACCCGGGTCCCTGGTGCTGTGAGGCAGCAGTGCTAACCACTGAGCCACCGTGCCGCCCCCGCCTCCATATCGAACCGAAGCGAGAATCGTACCTCTAGACCAACGAGCCAGCCGCTAATTAATCTTTCATTATTTGCTCTCATGTTCTCACGCCCTGCTTATAAAATTTAAATTATTTGTGCTTTTATGCCACGATTCTCAGTTTATGGAGATTCACTAGCATCGTTCACATTTGTGTGTCTAACCCCCTACCCTCAACATTCCATTGATTGCTGCAAAACAGGAAGTGCTGGAGGAAATTCAGCAGATCTGGCAGCATCTGAAGACAGGCAAAGTTAACATTTTGAGTCCAGTAACACTTCATCAGAACTAGGGCATTCTTACTAGTCTGCCCTACAGGTGACTACATGTTGACTTGACTCCAATCACCCTCTGGAATGGCCTAGTAAACCATTCAATTTAAGGACAATTAGGGATGGGCAACAAATGTTTGTCCTGCCAGTGATATGCATGAAAGAATGCAAAAATAAAGTCTCAGATTTTGTTCCTTCCCTACTGTTGTCCATGCTTTCAGCTGCCAGGGCCCCATGATCTGATGAAGGGGCCTATAACCGAGCTTACATGCCGCCAGAGCTCCATGAAATCTCAGTCCTTTTAACTTCCCTACCTATCTATCCCTCCCTCCCATTGTCAGGAGCTGCACTTGTTAGGGAAAGATCAAGCACTAACACCCAACTATTTCCCTTCTTTCCTCTGCCCCCTCTTCCCTTCACAGCTACTGTGCTTATTTCCGAATGAAGCAGGTCAGTCCCTCCTGCCGACTTGGGCTACGGACTAGCCAACTGTTCCGGGAGAAATACGTGTGTGTGGAGTGCCAAGGAGAAGCCATGGGGATCAGAGATCGTTGTGAAGGTGATGGGCTGGAAGGAACCAGGTAAGGAGCAATCTGTTTCATGTCTAGCATGAAGAAATCATAATTAATGACTGCATAGGGTTCCTATTAACTAAAGAGGTACGGTTTTGTACTGAAGACATTTCATCAAACTGTGTCAAAGTCTTTCAACATTTCCTGATATTTTTGCCCTTATTCTATCAGTACTATTTAACCAATGTATTTATGATCTACTGCTTTGAATGTTGGCTCAACCGCATAGAGTCACAGAGCACAGAAACAGACCCTTTGGTCCAACTCGTCCATGCCAATGAGGCATCCCAAACTGAACTAGTCCCATTCTCCTGGATTTGGTCCATATTCCTTTAAACCTTTCCTATTCGTGTATCTGTCCAAATGTCTTTTAAATGTTGTAATTGTACCGGCCTTTACCACTTCCTCTGACAGTTCATTCCATACACGCACCGTCCTCTACGTGAAAAAGTTATCTCTCAGATTCCTTTTAAACCTTTCCCCTCTCACCTTAAACCTATGCTCTCTTGTTTTGGACTCCCCCAGCCTGGGAAAAAGACCTTGACTGTTCACCTTATCCATGCCCCTCATGATTTTATAAACCTCTATAATGTTACCCCTCAACCTCCAATGCTCCAGAGAAGCTGTCCCAGCCTATCCAGCCTCTCCTTATAACTCAAACCCTCCAGTCCCATAACATTCTCGTAAATCTATTTTACACCCTCTCAAAATTAACAACATCCTTCCTGTAGCAGCGTGACTAGAATAATAAGAAATATTCTGAAAGTGTCCTGACTAATGTTCTGTACAGCCACAATTTGACATCCCAACTCCTGTACTCAATGCTCTAATTGATTTAGGCAACATGCCAAATGCATTCTTCATCACCCTGTTTACCTGTGATGCCACTTTCAAGGAACTATGTACCTGAACCTCTTGGTCTGTCTGTTCAACACCAGTCCCCATGGCTCCACCATTAACTGTGTAAGTCCTGCCCTGGCTTGTCTGACCAAAATGCAACACCTCACATTTATCTAAATTAAACTCCATCTGCCATTCCTCAGCCCACTGCTCCAGTTGATCAAGATCTCCTTGTACTCTGAGATAATGCTCTTCACTGCCCACTATGCCACCGATTTTGGTGCCATCCGCAAACTTACTAACCACGTCTCCGATATTCTCATCCAAACCGTTTATATAAATGTCAAACAGTGGACTCCACATTGATCCTTGCAGCATAACGTTGGTCACAGGCCTCCAGCCCAAATAACATCCCTCTACAACCACCCTCTGTCTCCCTCCTTCAAGCCAATTTTGCATCCAATTGGCTAGCTCTCCCTATTTCCCATGTGATCTAACAATCCCGGTGTGCTTTGTCAATACTGAAGGTGAGGTATTTATTAACAGGACCTATCACTTCTTTGCTCTCAATTACAAGTTGCCTATTTATCTCTCAGTCATCTGAACCCAATCTTTGGTTATCATTTTACCGCTGTACCTACTATAAATGGACTGTGTGTCTGTGTGTCTGTGTGTCTGTGTGTGTGTGTGTCTGTGTGTCTGTGTGTCTGTGTGTGTGTGTGTGAGTGTGTCTGTGTGTGTGTGTATGTGTGTGTGTGAGTGAGTGTGTGTCTGTGTGTTTGTGTGTGAGTGAGTGAGTGAGTGTGTTTGTGTGGGTGTCTCCATTTAATACGCCCTCGACCCCTTCCAAACCTCTTGTTTTGCTTCTCTTTGTAAACTCCCAAGGATTGGGTATAATGCTGGCCCAGTTTGCATTTACTGTAAACAACACCATTTCTGTGACTAGATTTCATTGCTGACTATGGAAATGATACCTGGTAAGGTCCCAGACCTTTTTTAAGGTGGCCAGCCATACTTGGAGAGTGCCCTGGTTATGTAATAAATCCACCTTTAGAGCCTCTTGTTCGGATTGTCTGCCTCTTCCAATATTCCGGATTAGAGTGGTAATGTCGCCTACATACATCAGACAAAACTGATGAGAGACTCACTGAGCTTAGGTAGCCAGCTGAGATACCAGGGTATACCCACTAGTGCGTGATATGAGCTCGTTGGAGACTTGGCTGAAGACACTCTGGGAATCAACTAAGACTTACTCACATTTAAAACAAGAACGTACAGCCAGCAATGACGCAGAGGTAGGAGTGCGTTCACAGAAATCCCCCATATATTGCTATAGTGATTGAGCGTTTAGTGTCAGTGTCAGCTTCAGTTCTGACTTTAGAATTAAGATGCATTTACTCCAAAGCTAAACCACAAGCAATCAGTGCTACAGTTGCTTTGTAAAGTACCGTGAAATTACCATCTAATTGTTTTAAAAAACTGGATGACTTGGACTAGCCTCCATGTGACTCCAGACCCACAACAATGTGGTTGACTCTTATCTGTCCCCTTGCAATGGGCCTAATAATCTCCTCAGTTCAAGGACAATTCGAGATGGGTAATCAATGTGAATACGTTTGCATGTTGGATATATCACTGGATGAGTAATGTAGAGAATGAGTCCAAATCTCATTATTGTGATTTGTCAATTTGAATCCTTCTTTGCGTAAGTTGGATTGTTGTAATAACCCTAATTGGTTTGCTAACATTCTTCAACTTGAGAACCTGCTATCTAGGCCAACTTACAAATTACAACTGACTCCAGCTCTGCATCAAAGCCGTGAACTCTCAACTGGCCCAGCAAACCACTCACTTATGTAGAATTTTTTTCATTCTTCTGTGGTATGCGGATGTCAGTGGTAAGGCCAGCATTTGCTACCCGTCTCCAAACGTCCTTAAAGTGAGGAGCATATTAGGCCCATTGCGAGGGGGCAGATAAGAGTCAACCACATTGCTGTGGGTCTGGAGTCACGTGGAGGTCAGCCCAGTTTTTTTAAACAATTGGATAGTAATTTCACGGTCAACACTACATCGACTAGCTTTATATTCCTGAATTATTAGTTGAACTTAAATTCCACCAACTGCTATGATGGGACTTGAACACATGACCCCACAGCCTTAGCCTGGGCCATTTTACCACTGTGCCACTGCCTCCACTATATGAAGGCAATGAAGGGTTGTCAGTAAATGGTAGCCTTAACCATATCCAGACAATGAATTTTAGGGAGATATAATGAATTTAGGAACACAGGAACAGGAGTAGGCTGTTCAACCCCCACCTTCCTGTTCCGCCATTCAATGAGGTCATGGCTAATCTGTAGCGTAACTCCATATTCCTGCCTTTGGCCCATATCCCTTAATGCCTTCATTCAACAAAAAATGTATCTATCCTAGATAAATGCTCAAGATAGCTCCATGTTTGTGCCCCTGGTTTTCCTAAAGCCATCTTTGTGCGTGGATCTTTCTTTCCTCTCTAGAACGTTCTGGATAGCGGCCTCCAATGCTGCCTGCCACGGATCATGGGTACGTGAATCTCTACGTGAAACTTGTCGCTGTCCCCCCCAGTCGCTGATCTTCGTTTAATGCTGTTCTGGATCTGACACATAACCCCAAAGGGCAACAGAAGTCAGCTTTGGGGACCCACAGAGAGGAGGGCCTGTGCAGTGCTATTGTGACTCGCTGGACTCCATCATTTGGCAATAAGATGGGAGACTTGTAAAAAAAAAGACTGAAGGAGAGACTATATAACCTTGCTGCATGCTATTTACCTCAATATCCTTCCACGTAAGCACATGCAGAGTCTTATAACCTCACAACTGAACAATGAAACTCTCAAAGCACAAAGAGAACAGCTAAGAACCTTTAAACCTTTTACCTCTGAAACTCTGCTGAAAGCTACCTCCATAAACACACTTGCGTTTATTAAAAAAACCAAAAAAAATCTACTATTTTCTACTATTTGTCAAGTTTTGTTTTTAATTGTCTATCCATATGCTATGTAACTGGGAACAGCAAAAATGGGAATGTTTAGATGCAAATACTGAATATTATTTAAAATTACTTTTGAATAAATCCATTATCATTACGATACTGGCTACATTTACATTTTTTCAGGTCTAATGTTGCTGCACCTGTACGAGGCTGATCCCAGGTACGGAAGGACTGTCTTATGAGGAGGGGTTGAGTAAGTTGGGCCTGTACTCATTGGATACAAAACCGAAAGAACTGCGGATGCTGTAAATCAGGAACTAAAACAAAGTTGCTGGAAAAGCTCAGCAGGTCTGGCAGCATCTGTGAAGAAAAAAACAGAGTTAACGTTTCGGGTCCGGTGACCAATGAGAAATGACCAATGAGGTTCTGAGGAAGGGTCACCGGACCCGAAACGTTAACTCTGTTTTTTCCTTCACAGATGCTGCCAGACCTGCTGGGCTTTACCAGCAACTTTGTTTTTGTTTCTGTACTCATTGGCGTTTAGAAGAATAGGAGGCGACCTTATCGAAAACAAGAAGATTTTTAGGGAACTTGACAGGGGGCTGTCCCTTGTGGAAGAGTCCAGGACCAGAGGCTGTAAGCTCAGAATAAGGTACAGAACATCTAAAACAGAGATGAGGAGGAATTTCTTCTCTCAGAGGGTTCTGAATCTGTGAAATTCTTTACCACGGAGGGCTGTTGAGGCTGGGTCATTAAGTATATTCGAGGCTGAGAGAGCTTTTTAATCAGTAACAGAATCAGGGATATGGGGAAACAGCAGGAAGATGGAGTTAAGGAATACCAAATCAGCCATGATCTCATTGAACGGCAGAACAGACTCAATGGGCTGACTGGCCCAAAGCTACTTTCTATATCTTTATTAATAAGGCAGTGCTTTAAAGGGCTCGTCCTATCAGGGCTCTTTTCCCATAGCCCTATGTGTCATCAGCCCTCCAATACTATCCTAAGAAAGGAACTTAATGCCAGGCTTAATTAGGAAACAGAAGTCTAGAGTGGGTGGAGAACTGTCATGTGTTGTGACTTTCTCTGGATTGGCCAGTTGGTGACCATCCATATGTGAACTGAGAATGGCATCTTAATCTGGGGAGAGGTGTCAGTCAGAGGTTGCCCAATCTGGAAGCAGGATGCCATGGCAGATCAGCAAGGGAGAAGTCACAGATGTGCTCAATACCTCAGAGATATGCAGAGATGACACCCACCAGACTCTCTACGGAAAGAGAAACTCTTTCCATTGGTGGGGGGTCAAAAAACAGAGGTGGTTGGCGAAAGAACATAGAGGTGACATGAGGAAAGATTGGGAATGGTTATGATATGGATAGCTTTCTGTGTTCATCCAGCTCTACACCTTGTTACCTCATGATATGGATTGAACCTTGTTAACATTTCTGCCTGGGGTGTGGGCATCGTTGGCCAGGCCAGCAGTTATTTCTCGCTGTGAATGGCCTTCATCAAGCTGATATAATAAAACCAAGAACTTCAGATTCTGGAAATCCGAAACAAACAAAAACAGAAACTGCTGGAGAAACTGAGCAGTTCTGGCAGCATCTATGAAGAGAGAGAAACAGTGTTAACATTTCAGGTTCTGTGACCCTGCTCTGAAGAAGATAACTGCATTGCAACAGACCAACCTAGAAGCTTACGGAAGAACTTAATACAAAAGAACAGGAAGTGAACTAACAACTTGGCTTTTCTGACAGAAAACAGCCGTGAACACTTCAGCCTTGTCTCCTCTTCTGGAGAGTGGGGGCTGTGTGAGGGTTGTCAGATTGAGTGGGGAAAGGATGATGGAGAGAACAGTGAAGAACTTGACAGGGGGATGAATCGAAGAGATTGAAGATCAGATCTGGGTCCGTGTAGAGAGATCAAAGGCTGAGGCATATTTTTTATTCTTGCAAGGGATCCAGGTGCCACTGATACAGCCGACACTTGTTGCCCATCGTTAATGTCCCTTGAACTGAGTGGTTTGCTGGGGCATTTCACGGCCGGTTAAGAGTCAATTACAATGGTAATGGCCTGGAGTCACATGTAGATCGGAACCTAAACTGAGCAGGTTATTGCTGAGTAAGTGCTGTTAACAATCCATTTAATCTCTCTGCCAAGGATTGAGTTTAGACCAAGGATGGCAGATAAATTTACCCTAATGGGTATTAGTGAACCAGGTAGGTTTTCCAACTGATTCATGTTCAGCATTACAGAGACTAGCTTTATTTATTGAATTTAAATTCCACAGTAGAATTTGAACCAATATCTGCAGGCATTAGAATTAGAATCCCTACAGTGTGGAAACAGGCCCTTCAGCCCAACAAGTCCATGCCGAACCTCAGAGCATCCCACCCAGATCCATCCCCCTATGACCCACCTAATATACACCCTCTACCTCCCTGAACACTACGGGCAATTTAGCATGGCCAATCCGCCTAACCTGCACATCTTTGGACTGTGGGAGGAAACCAGAGCACCCAGAGAAAACCCACGCAGACACGGGGAGAATGTGCAAACTCCACACAGACAGTCGCCCGAGGCTGGAATCGAACCCGGGTCCCTGGCGCTGGGAGGCAGCAGTGCTAACCACTGTGCCACTGTGCCACCGTGTCGCCCATTAGCCTAGGCCTCTGTAAAAGCAGACCCTTACCATTGTATCAGTGACTTCTGGAATCTGTGAGAGGGAATTAGAGTCTGTCAGGGAGGGTGGAGGAGAGGAGAAAGGAGGCTGGAGGGATTGGAGAGGGTTGGGGACTGACAGTGAACTAGCAGTCTGGGAGGGAGAACAGAGCCAATGCTTGTGGCCATGTGGTGACCTGGAATTTTAAAACAAAATCCACCTAACTCTCCAACTCACATAAATCTTTCCTCGACACAGCAAAGTGGGAAGAGAAATCTATGTTAAAATCTCCAGACACAGTGTTCAAAAGCTGCGCCGTACAGTTCAATATCATATGTTGTCAATCCTTTGACCCCAGCAGATATTGAAAAGGAGATTGAGAAGGGACAGATCCTCCACTATGACAGATGCCTGTACAACACATTAACTCTTCAATAGCAAATTCTGACTTGCATAATTTATACAATCAGAAAAATCTGTGGATGTTTAGCAATTATCAATAGAATTAGCAAAAGGGCCTTCTAACTCGATGGGTACAAAATCTTAATGAAGGCTCTTGTGGAGTAGTGATAGTATCCCTACCTCTGACCTAGGGTAATCTGAGTTCAAGTCCCAACTGCTCTTGAGGTGTACAATAACATCTCTGACCAGGCTGCTTAGGAAATATCTAAAATATCTATACGCGACTCAGGAGAACAGCTGAGTTGCTGTGAATTTGGCTTCAAGACCAAGCTACATTAATTGTGTTCCGTTCTGGTTGCCTCATTATAGGCAAGATGTGAAATCTTTAGAGAGGGTGCAGAGGAGATTTACCAGGATGCTGCCTGGACTGGAGGGCAGGTCTTATGAGGAAAGGTTGAGGGAGCTAGGGCTTTTTTCATTGGAGCGAAGAAGGATGAGAGGTAGCTTGATAGAGGTATACAAGATGATGAGAGGCATAGATACAGCAGATAGCCAGAGACTTTTTCTCAGGGCAGAAATGACTATTACGAGGGGACATAATTTTAAGGTGATTGGAGGAAGGTATAGGGAGATGTCAGAGGTAGATTCTTCACACAGAGAGTGGTGGGCGTGTGGAATGCGCTGCCAGCAGTGGTAGTGGAGTCAGATATGTTAGAGATTTTTAAGCGACTCTTGGATAGGCACATGGAGGATAGTAAAATGTAGGGTGTGCAGGGTGATTTGATCTTAGTAGGGTAATAGATTGGCACAACATCGTGGGCCAAAGGGCCTGTACAGTGCTGTACTGTTCTATGTTCTATATTCTAAATCGATGTTGTCCTCTCAGTGCAGGCTACAACATCAAAGGAGCCCAGGTAGGAATGACATATTAAAGCTGGCCCTTCCTCTCAGATCGACACAAAAAACAACTTCCAGTGTCATTTCAGAGTAGGGGAAATCACCCTGCTGTCCTTGCTTGGTATTAATTCCACAATCAATATTGGCCATCGTTCAACAGGCAAAACGTACAGACATACAAATTAGGAACACAGCTAGGGGCCTCCACGCCTGATCCACCAAGGTCACAGCTGATCTGAATATACCAAATTCCCATTTAAAACCTTCCATCCCCTCCCGTATCAAGAATCTCCTTTAGAAATATTCAAAGACTTACTTCTACCACCTTTTAAGGAAGAGAGTTCCAAAGGCTCTCACCCAAATGTTTTTCTCACCTGTTTTAAATGGCAATTCATCATTTTTAAACAGTGACCCCTAGTTCTAGATTCTCCTGCAACAGGAAACATCCTCTCTATATTGACCTGGTCAAGACCCCTCAGGATCTTGCATATTTCAATCAAGTCATCTCTTACTCATGTAAACTCCAATGGATGCCAGCCTAGTGTGTCTGCCATTTCCTCACAAGACAATCCACCAATCTTCTTAAGACAATCTTCTCTAAACAACTTCTAATGCATTTCCTTCCTTACTTGAGGAGACAAATACTGTACTCAGTACTCCAGATGTTGTCTAACTAGTGAAATGTGTCACTGTAGCATACCCTCCCTATTTTTGTATTCAATTCTGTTCGTAATATATGATAATATTCTATTAGCTATCCTAATTAAATGCACTACAACACCTCTGCATCTGACAATCATCTGCAATCTCTCAACATTGAGATACTTTTTTTTAAATTTCTCCTGTGAAAAATGGACTATTTCACATTTTACAATGTGGTGCTCAATTTGACAGATTTTTTTACCTATTCACTTAACCTAGTTATATCTTTCTGTAGCCTCCTTATGTCATAGAATGTGGAAGCAGGCCATTCAGTCCAAAAAGCCAACACTGATCCTCCAAAGAGTGTCACACCAAACCCACCCCTGTAACCCTGCATTTCCCATAACTAATCCACCTAACCTGCACATCCCTGGACACTATGGGCAATTTAGCATGGACAATCCACCTAGCCTACACATTTTTAGACTGTGGGAGGAAA